GATTGCGTCGGCCGTTGATATAATTAATAATTAAGCAAGGAGTTAGAAAGGGGATATTTGATTGAAAAACGCTGGTGGCTCAGAGTTTTCTTGAGCGAGTTGTTTTGAGCTCCGCGGAGAGCGGTGTTTAGCGTTTAGCTTTTGCTTTGAATAACAGAGCGTTGAGCATTATTAAGAAGAATAAGAAAAGAAAAAAAACGGAGGAAGAGGAGAGAACGGGAATGACGGCTTCGTGCTTGATGGCCAACTGAACCGGATAATTTTGCGTAGGAAAAGGAAGACTTGAACGTTAAACCCGCGGTTATAAGTTGAACGACGTCCTGTGTCGTATTCTTCTTCCAACGTGAATACAGCATTGATGATATACCGAATTTAGGGCTTCCTGGAAAAGATCATCAGGAGAACTCTTTCGAGACTGTTAATTAATGAGCGGAGAAACAGATGAGCGTGAAAGTATCAAATTCCAAACTTAGTGTCTTAGCAAATCGCCTACCGACTATGTGACGTGGCACGATCCGAACTTTGAAGCAATAAGAAAGGGACTTTACTTTGAAGCGGAAAAATGACTCCCAGCTTAATTTGACTGGCGGGATCCAATAGTATAGGACTCCGAAGTCTGCAGACGTAAGTCCTTCTTCTTTCTCTCAGTACATATTTGATTATGAAATTTTAAATTTTTTATTTTTCTTTAGATAGGACAAAATCCTTAATTATGTTTTTCTTGTGTATTTAATGTGTTAAATGGGGTAATTTTGTCCTTTGAAATGTATAGCAAGGCTATGTTATTATTTAGGTTATGTTTTCTGCATATGTCAGTATAATTAAGAGACTGAATATTGCATTATACTGATCGAACCGGGGTTAGTTAATTAATTACTGTTACATTTGTATTAAATTGTCAAATATTCATTAGATAGTAAGATTAAAAATTTGTACTTCATCAAAATCGGTATGTGATTCGCACCATAGTTGCGACACAACAAGTGTGTTTTAGTCTCTTACGGTGGCTTACGGTATAATTAAATATTTTTTTTAATCTTAATCCAAGTTATTACATTAAACTTCTTTCTTCCGCTAATTCCCTAAAAACCTAGATTTCCATAAAGGAAAAGCAAATTAAATATCTTTGCTTTTTGAGCGGATTTTTCACAATTTCGACTGTAAGAAAGTCGAAAAATCTCTTAGAAAATTTATTTCTGTTTCTATCACTTAAAATGCTGTTAACTTACAAATTAGTAAAATCTTCCTTTTGGATTTAGATATAGTAACTTACGTAGCACACTGTTTGAAAAATACATAATTTCAGAATTTAGTACATAACACTTATGAAGACATGGTTGTATTTATGCATATATATTCAAAGCGACATTTATCTTATATTAATTGACAATTTTTAGGCGGGGCTGTCTTTCCAACTGGAATGTAATCGTTCTTTTTTCTGTTTGAAGAAGCTAATATAATAATAACATGGAGAAAGAGATGGAAAACTACTGAGTTACAGAATTTTCTAGGGAATTCACTCAGATGAAAAATAACCACTACATTGCAGGTATCGTGGCGTGAAAGGCCACCAGCGGCTGAGTACTAAAGTCACTGAACAGTTACAGTTTGATCTGGATCCGATCCAGGCAAACAGGCCGGTTGCATGAGCATTTCCATTGTTTTCTCGATGTGTAAAGAGAACACAAGCCAGTTTTCCCTGGAAAGTACCTCACGAAGGCATGTCTCTCCTCAATCAGATAGCCTTAGCGTGGTTTATATAAGTTTTTATCAAATAAGTCAAACCATCCCTGTGTGAGATATAATTAAACATCCCAAAAGCATTAACAGACATCTGTTACTTTTACCCATTCAGTAATAATAATGTTTCTTATTCCAGCGTAAAGTATTATTTAAGTTTCAGTATAAAATACTTTAAAACCATATAAAATTATTAAAAAGCTTGGATAAACTCTTGTTAAAGCTACATACCTTCTTCGTGTACTTGTTAATTAAATATCTAATGTAAATTTAAGTACAACGCAGAAACCAGATCTAATTTTCATTACCTAAAATTATTTTTAAATCGAATAAATTCAACACAATTTAATAAACTGAAGAAGACTACTTGATTTCTTACAAAGCATCCGATATTTTGCTCAAAACAGGAGTTTTCTGCTATGCAAAAAACTGTTTTAACTGTTTCTAAATTTTTTATTATAAAAATAATGCAAATATTTCTACTTATGAAACTTAGAAAGAATCTCACGTAAAAGACAAAAATTAGATGCCTATTAACACTTCTGTTTATAAATATATTGAAGATACAGTTATCTTACACATTAAAACTCATTACAAATACAATACCAAATGAAAAAAAAAGTTGTATAGTTGCAGGCATTATTTGTCCTATTATTGATTCTTATCTACTTTCTCTAAACCATAATAAAAGAACATTTCTTTCCAAGATAAAATACAAACCCTTCAAGAATATCCTCTTTTAGATGTCAGGAAAAAATTCAGTTTTTTTTTTCTTTCGTGCATCAAATGTCTTTCTTTTTTAATTTTTAATATCAAGCGTTCTTTTGTTTTAATCTGCTTACCTTATACTCGTAATGAATGTCTTTCAGTTTTGTTTAGTTTAAAAAATAACACTAGAGTTCGCCAACTAACATCATTACTTTTATTGTTGCATTTTTTGTGGGTAACAAATGTAATTTTTAATTTGAATACCTTTTCGTGTGTGCTGGTACTCGGTTTTTAAAGAAAATTTCTTCATTTATCGGAAAGAAATATTGTAACAATTCCTTTAATGCTGCTGAGGCTTTCTACTTTAATTTGAGGAATTTAACTTTTTAGACTTTTAGCTTTACAGAGCATAAAGCAATTCCTTCTCTCAGCATTCAATGCATCTTCCTATTTCCGGTTCTGCATAACAATGAAGCGAAGATAAAATAATTGGATTTTTAAAATAAATGACTCATTTCGACTTAGTAAGGAAGCTTCCTCTCCCTGGCAGTAATCAATTGAGAAAATGGACTTACCAGAAAACCTTGTAAGTTTTTTCTGACGTGCAGTGAAGACTGCTTGGTCTACAAGCATGTCTTTTTGCTTAAGTTAAAATTCCGTACTCCGCTTTGCTTTAAAATACAAGCACCATTCCTCAGACCTATGAGTGATATATAGAATTCCCACAGTAAAATTATTGTCGTATTAACATAAATATATGCCGATATTTTTTCTCTTAAAATACCCTTCTGAAAACCCACCCTTCTTATATATTGGCAAGATGACATTTAAAATTTATAATAATATAATTTATACTTTGTCCGGAATTTTTATTTAAGAAATACGTATTCAAGAAGCTTTACTTCATTGTATGGTGTTTTCAACTTAAAGCATCTTTCTTATAGAATACTTTCAAAATATCAAGCTCATTTAGATGCTTTGTCCTATACGCAAGATCCTTTTTTTTTTTTTTTTTTTTTTTTTTTTTTTTTTTTTTTTTTTTTGTAGAATTCGACGAGGCAATCCTATTCTATTTTTTCTTATACACCCCTTCGAAATTTCACGTTGTTGTATAAGTGAGTCTGCTTTATTCAAGGTAGGGCAAGTATTTTGAGCTTTTATATTTTTCTTGCTCATTATACGTAATAAATAAATGGCATAATGGGTCGAAAGACATATTGCGCAGGAAGAGAAAGATTTTCTAAACTTAATTAAGTTTCAAAAGGATTGCTCCATCTGTCAATAAACTTAATTACAATTATAAGAAAAATAATGATAGATCTTAGTAGAAAGAAAATTCTGTTTTTTTCCCCTGGCTACTTTGCGGTTACTAAGAGCATAGCACCTTATAGGAAGAAATTAATGCTAAGAAATCAGTAGCTTAGTTTTAATGCAATACGTTTTTCCTTGTAAAGAAATTATTTTTGATCAGAATTTATTGAATACTTATTTGAGATGTCTCGTGACTGTTGCATTACAGTATGTGTCCAGGGTTGTTCCTACAAGATGGATTTCCTACTAGACATACTAACCAGCTGCAACAGTCCATTCTTTTAAGAAAAAGGATAAAGAAAATTCATTCTATGATAATTTTCTGAAATATTTCAGAAAACTGTTAGCTGAGTAACTGAATAGCGGTAATTTGAATAATTTATAAGAAATCCTCACTTTAAGGAACGAACTTTAAGTACAAATAAGAATTCCTTCTCTTCTGGATTATTAACTGATTTCTGAAATGGGCACTGAATACCGAATTACGTTTTCCGGTGGAAAATATATTTAAATTGGGCAGAAACGGACTTTTTCATAATAAAATATGTACTAAATATTTACGGTCTTTTGAGGCTGCTTGTTAAATTGAAAATACCAAATTGGAAAGTAAAATTTGATATGGTATTAGTTATTATAAATATTAATAAAGTACATTGAAGTAATGTTATGTTACATATATTTCAAAGTCTTGTTAGGATAATTATGAAACATTATTCTTAAAAATTACTCTAAAGAAGAAAATATATTTTCAAGTGAAATACCTAATTTAAAACTTTAATTAACTGCCGTTTGTGAATCCCGTATTTTACATTAAAATTATTTTTTAAAATGATGAAAAAACATGAAAGAAATAATTATGTGAAATAAACAGCAAACGTACTTGATGGATTCTATAAACCATTTATATTGTTAAAAAAGTATTTGGCTCTTAAACTCAAAAGAAGAATACAAGAGGAATATAATATATCTTTCTAATGAAAGAAATGGCTTTATATTTAATATATTTTATAACTAAAAACAAGCAAAGTAATAAACTACAAATAAAACTATTTTTGAATGATATTAAAGCATTAAAATTATTTTTTAAGCACACAAAGCATTTAGAAGAATTATTTTTATATTAGAAATAACAAAACTGCATCATGCAAAACAAAGAAGCAACGTTTTAAAAAAAAGAAATATGCATTTCTCAAAATCAAGCTTAAAAGTAAACTAAAATAATGCAATTTAAATATACTTACCATTCAGAAAAGGGCAAGGAGCGTTGTCATGTGCTCATTCAAAGGTGAAAGAAAGAGTTAAAGTCTTGGTGTTTCTGTAAATCGTAAGGAGAACTTAAGCTCTCTTTATTGCCCGAGATATTTCCCCCTTTTTTTTAACACATATTATATTTTTTAAGAGAAGAAGAAAATCTCATCTCTCGAATCAATAACTTCTGCGGGATGATTCGGGTAGACAACATTACATCATCTGACAAAGCCTATTCATGCAATAACATTCTCCCGAGCAATCGAAAGTCTCACATTCTCCTGATTCCGGGCACTGCGAGAGCATCTCTTGATCCCTGACACTCCCCCACTACTATGGAGCGATGACAAATGACAGTGGGTTGACACAGAATTCGCCCCATAAGATGATCCAGGTGGACAGGACGGGCCGCTGCCAGAAACCTGGATGCAACAGCCGTTGCAGACAGCTCTCTTAAATAGCAGCACAGACCGCACGGCGGCGCAGCACCTGAGGGGCGGAGCCGGACAAAATTTTATCAGGGGAGGACGGGAAAATGTATTCAATCAATCTAGCTCAGATCAGAGAAATTCGTCAGCCTCATGAGATTTTAAAATAAAACAAATGAGGCATATCACTCACCGCATCGAAACTCGTTAATCAAAGAAATTTCCAACAGAACTCTGCGCAATTTTAAGACCCTGCAAAAAAAAAACTAAAAATGCTGTAAGTATCCATAATTTGCCCTTTAAAAAAAACATTATTATTCAGATTGATTCTCAGAAGAGCGATATAAACTTCTATTTTTAAAACGGTAATGCGAGTCGTTTATAAGCGAAGCGATAAACAATAATTTTCTCAGAATGTTATCAGAATTGCTTTACGTACCTTAGCTATAAATTCATGAACTTTTTGAGAAACTTGTTTTCTAATAATATTTTAATACTTAAGGAACATATAGCAGCAATTTCAATGTTGTTTCATAAATTTTCAAGAAATTGCATCAATTTTGTTAGTTTGAATTGCAGTTCACAAATTTTACATCTCAAAAAAAAAAAAAAAAAAAAAAAAAATAGATATTTAGAAAGAGAGAGAAAAGATGTATATGTATAATCTGCACTCAAAAATAAATCTAAGTGACCTTAAGAGAGAACGAAATTTAAAAATCTTATTATTTAAATTAGAGCAAAATTCTTAATGTTTTCCCATTGCATTCATAATTTATTGAATCTAAAATAATTATATAATTAGCACTAAATCTTTTAAAATATTGCCTAATTTTGCTCTTCTGAGAATCATTTATGGCTGCAAAAGCAAAACTGAAATGTTATGTCTCACATTTATCCGGATTTGTGTGCACATTTATGATTATTTCTAGAGAAGCGGGGAGGATATTATTGGAAAGTCATAATATTTCCAATGTGAAATTAGTAGTAATTTATATTATTATAAAAATAGATTAAGAATCTGCATATCTTAATAGAAGTAATAGTTTGATGATATTTATTTAATAAATTTAATGTCCTATCCGAAATTATATTACTACTCATATAGAAAGTTTTATTATTATTTCATACATACGGCAGTTTTCATAAATTAGGTAATACATAGGAAAATCGCAATACCTCAGTACGTAGCTAATTTAAAAGTGTTGGTTGAAACTTTTATTATATGAGTTTAAAGAAATTCTCAAAACCGTTTTATGCTAAAGTTGGCTGAAATTAATATACGAAATATTACGTCGGGTAAAGGTTAGCAAAGTTAAATTAAAAAAAAGTACGTTGCCGATTATCGAAATTCCGTTATTGAGTTTTATCCGAGTTTCACGAAACTCTGAACTCTTCCTGGAATTATTATCATTATTCCACGTTTATGGAAGGTATAATTATCTGTAATGTTCAGTATTAGTCACAGTTCTGAGAACAAACCTTGATAGTCAAAATCATTACAGATACTTCTAGCACTCCAAGGGTATCGGTTGCTTTTCAGCTTTTTCTCGATTTCTTTAATTACTGAAGAAATGGTTCTTAAATTGAAGAGAAATTTGGGACTTTAATAAGACCAGGCAAGTGAAAGCCTGTCGAGCACACTGTACAGTGGTTAGAGAAGCCTGCTCCGGTACCGAAGGGTCAGAGTTCGAATCCCGAGTAAGATAAGGATGTTTTTAAATGTAGAGTATCCTTGCACTCTAAATATGCGGCGAGCCGAAAGTCCTCTCGTGTAGTTTGGTGGAAGGGAAAAGACTGAAAAACCCTCGGAATACCCCCCCAGGCTGCTTTTCCTCAAAATTGGGGTAGAAAATAAAACCTCTCTTTGGAGTAAGCTCTGGTAACCATTTTTCCATGTAATATGGGCACGATCATAACAACAACAACAAGGACGCAAAGCTGTAAAATTAACCATATCTGCAAGTGTTTTGGTAACTTAACTTGCTGAACTTTGTAAAGCACGTATGTAAAAAGAAACAGCTGCTATTCGGAATCTTAATACAGGCATATTTGTCCGCTAAAAGGGATATAATTACGTAAATTATCGGGGACTGTTAACGCGGATAATTTCCACGAGATAATGATGGTCGCATAATCTTACTTTAACTTACCGATGTGACTGGATGCGCATGTCACAGATATTTTTAATTCTTTTAACATTCCTCAAAATTAAAAAAAAAAATACTGCTCCTCCTAAGCGATGTACGGTGTGTAACATAACAGATTTTACTTTTAAAAGAAATAGTTTTACTGTTCTGAGTATAAAATGACAAAATTTCAACATGAAATAAATATATCTACCTTTCCTAGGACAGTGTTTGTGATAAATAGTTGCATTTCATTCAGCGGGTCTCTTTTAACAACCAGTCTTTGGTAGTTACGTGTTAACTAGCATTACTGACTATCCGACCGCCCTTTAATCTTGTTCATGGCGTATAATCGCTTCTCTATGTCAATATCGAGTGCTCACAATGCTTATAAAAATGTAGGACTACTAACGTTGCTTCGCGCTGATAATCATGGTGTTTACGGATTTAATTGAAAATAAAATTTTCTATTCCTAAAATGTTGTACGGAGGCTGCTTGGGGTTTTGTTTGGGATTCAACATATGCTCCATGACGTAAAGGTTAAGAAAATTAAATGGCTAGACTCTAGGTACCGTAATCGATCCGGACTTCATATTTAAAAATAATATTAACTTATTTTGCCTTCAGTTTAAAAGAGTATTTTTTTCACCTTTCGATTTGAAATTCTTATTTCTTTGCCGAGAGGAAATGACAAGGGAGCAGTGAGTTGTTTGGCAAAAGACATACTTTTAATAAAGAAGGTAGTAAGCAGTGAAATCTGAGAGGTGCTGTTCTATGGCTGCGACGATAACTGTACTTGGTTAGGTATCTTTTCGTCCATCTCGGTTATAATCCAAGGTTCTTGTTTCACTGTACATTCCGCGTGTGTTTATGACTTATTAAGCAGGTTCTAAAACTTGGGAATAATGTGTCAGCTTTCGTTTCAAAAATTTGTCCTTCTTAATCCTCACTTTGATTGGTCCCTTCCCTTTTTAGTGGCATGTTGTTCCCTAGATCTGCACTTGTTCTTATAATAACGACCCTTTCAGTCATGATTTCTTTCAATTCGGACTCGAACTAATTTTGAAAAGTTTCGTTTCAAGGTAAAGTTGAATTGCAGATAACGAATATATCTGCCTTTTGCAAGCGAGACAGTTTCGAATGTCATATTTGCGTAATATAAGCACGTTCTATGACATTTCAATATTTTAGAAGCACTTACGAGATTTTTTATTTTTCTTCGTAATTTCCTTTAGTATGGTTTACACACATGTTTTAAACGATTTACATACTAAAGTGCTATTAGCGAGTATTTTATATAAACAACATCCAACTGTCACTGATTTTTTATAAAAATGTGCATAATTAAACTAGTTGAGGCATACCAAGGTAATACTTAAGGCTTAATTTTTGTGCTTTGAAGCACTTTCTATGTTACATATATGCGGAAAAATCTTGTTATTTTTGCATGGGTATTTGATACTATTTGCTAATTTCGACCTTAGAAATCGCAATTCATCTAAAATAAGAAATAACTGCAGGGTGGAAAATTGGGCGAAGATGAAGAGTTTGTTACACTCGGTTATCGTATCTCATTAATTTTGTAGTTAATTACATCACTTTGCAGAAGGGTTTTGCGATGAATGTTAATGATAAGGAAAAGCAAATGCAAAATATCTAGATTTTATTCACTCATTTGGTCTATTTTAACTGCTAACATATTATTAAACATTTATTTTTGGGGGGGTTATGGAGACGCAGGCAAGAAAATCAGCCGACAGAAGAGATGTTTTCGTAGAAAACTTTCTAAGGGGAACTGGTTCATATCCACGTACACATGGAAAAAACAACGCCCCGTGTTCAATACATCTAAAGCTGCAAACCTGGATTCACTGAATACTGATAGTTCGACCCCGGATTCGAAACTGGATCTAAATACCGGTGTTCAACGAATTTACCGCTCATCTGCTAGTCTTATTTGTATATTTTCTTTTGTCACAGGCTGGGCCAAGGAACTAGGATCATGCAACAGCTTTTCAAAATTCAGCACTTACAATGCTTTGTTTAATAAAATTAGCAAATAATATTAATTTCTTAAATCAGTATGTATGCAGAATAGTTCAGAAGAAATGTTTAATCTAATTGCATATTTTATTAATATTTTTTCTTATGGTATACATTTATCCAATAAAAGTTCCAGACTTAGATATTAATTTCTCCAAAATATACACTAGATACTGCACCCTGTTTACTAAACTCTTCAAATATTCATATTAAAATCTATGGTCGTTAGCCATAAGAATCCTTCATAATGCTTCAAACATTTTTCATAATGCTTCATAATGCTTCAAAAAATGAAATTTTTACATATTTCCCTTACTTTTTCTCAGAATTTCTCGTTTAAATACTGTCACGTCTCACTTTTCTAGTACACCAGAATAAAATTCTTTAACGGTCACTGCACTATTGACAAGCAAGTTAAGTTTAGCTTTGTGTTAATTTCAACTAAAACAGCTCAAAACCTTTAGAGAGCAAAATATCCGTATTCTGTCGTTGCCGGGAGCAAGTATTCGCAGTCAAAATATTTGCTCTGGTAATGTGAAAATGATTCAGTTTGTTTCTTGAAATGCAATGACTGGTTTAGATTAATTAAATATGAGAAAGCTCTCTTCTTGTTTGCTTTTTGTGTTTGAGGAGGACTTTACGGGAAACTGGCTTGTGTTTACGTCACTCGTGGGAAAAGTTACTGAAACCCCATATCGAAAACAGAACTAGAGAAACTACCAATTTTGTTCTGCTTTCAGCCTATCGGTCATCGGTAGATTTAG